ACAGGAAACAGAAATGATTTTTAGGGAAATTGTTCCATGACATAGAGCGCTATTACATTTAACACAGACCAGAGTAATCTTTGTCTAATACAAGTCAAGTTCCACTGCAAGGAATAAGATGACTGAAGAGCTCTTTACGGAGGATCAGATGACCAACAGAGGTAACGCTTTGCTGGTCTGGTTGTAAGCAACCAGAGATAAGTTCCGGTGTAACCTTTTTAAATTATCACCTCTAAGGAAAGAACGTAGCTGTGAGGGTGACAGTTCAGAGAAGCTGAGTTATCACTGCGTATATAGTCTTCGGTCTTGCTATCAAGCCACAATTATCATTCAGTTCATCTCTTCCTTCAAACGACAAAATCACCTAAACAGAGACTACCCAAACTATCTACCACAATTAAAACTTGGTGAAAACATCTAGGAAGAGAAGAAAAAGGAGTAGTAGTAGCAGTGTGTGTATAACACCTTCTCCAAAGTACCTTTTCTCTCTTGCTAATTTACCGCAAAGAAGCCAGGCACAGCTGTTTCAGCTCTAGATCCTGAAGTCTGGGAATCAGATTTCTAGCAATGCATTCAATTTTACATTTCATTATAACTAAATAATTTAGAGATGTCTTTAAATACATCCTGATGGAAATTTACCTGTGTGATGCCATCACTTGCCTCTCTAACTTAAATGTTAGTCATTTTCAATTTCTCTCTTTCCTCTCCAATACATCATCTACTTACCCTATTTTCTCTCTGTATTCTATCTTTAAACATTACCTCTCCTCATTTCAATAACCCTAGAGCAGGATGCTGGATTAAAACAATTATCTCTTACAGAGCTTCCCTTCAATTCGTATCGCCTTCATTTCTACACAAAGCAATGAGAATTATCTTCCACAAACAGCTGTTTTCAGTAATAAGAAAGCTAAGTTCTGTGACTAAGCTAAACATCCCTTCTGTTCTTCAAGGCCTATAATAGTTCCTAGTTGCTAGTGGTATCAAATTGAAATTTCCAAATACTGTTCATTATATCCTTTTTGAACTGTGCTGCGTATTCTCAATGATCTGTCCACATTTTTCTGCATATTCAAATTTATGTTCTCGATTCCATTTAGTCTGACAACCATGTATTAACATGATTAATTTGTTTCTCGTTTGTATTCTTTACCACCAAAGTAGGGACTATTTATTTTTCCTTGTATTTATTCTTTCCTTTTTCCTTAACCATAGATCCTCTAACTCTAATCGGACAGCACACGGCTGTCCAGTACAAAGACTACATACATTTTCAGCCTCTCTTGCAGCTAAGAGTGCCCGTGTGACTAAGTGCTCAACAACATGAAGCCAAAAAGCTTACGAGCAACTCCAAAAAGTGTCCTTAAAGGGAAGGAGTATTCATATTTTCAATCTCTCCTCCTTCCTACTGGCTAGGATGTAGATGTGATGGCTGGAGCACAAGCAGCCATCTTGGATCAGGAAGTGGAAGTTACATACTGAGTTTGGTGGAGCAATGAGACAGAAAGAGCCTTGAGTCCCTGACAGCATGAAGAGCCACATCAGTCCTAGCATATCAAGCTCTTGGTTATTTTTAGAAGAGAGAAAAAAAATCCTTTTATGTTTAAGCCATTAACATTTTTGTGGCTTCTACTCTCACTTATGGGAACACCTAACTCTGACTGATCTACCTATCTCCCCGTTTTCATTTGCTATGTCTCTTGTCCCACTAAGAATGCCCCTCCAACCCCCACACAGCAAACTGTCAGCTTCCTTTCTTCCTTTAAATAAATTATTTTTAACATTTATTCATTTTCGAGAGACAGAGCGCTAGTGGGGGAGGGGCAGAGAGCGAGAAAGAAACACAGAATCCAAAGCAAGCTCCGGGCTCCGAGCGGTCAGCACAGAGCCCGATGCAGGACTCAGATTCAACCATGAGATTGAGATTCAACCATGAGATCAACAAACCATGAGATCATGACCTGAGCTGAAGTCGGACTCTTAACTGACTGAGCCACCAAAGTGTCCCTCTTTCTTCCTTCAAAATACAGCTTCAGACTCAAATGCCTACATGGAAATGGTTAGTATTGCCAAGTTTATTTAATCCAATTACTCTTTTTTGAACACAAACATGCATATCTACATATCTAGTATGTACATGTGTCCACATACATAGTGATGGATAAATGAAATTTTTAGATAATTTAACAGATTTTTAATAAATTTACTACATTTTTACATCCAAACATTCACTACTCACTTTAAACTGTACTCTCACTACACATTCATTTCAATGATGCCATCATTCACTAAAACTCTTTTTGAACACTTTTTTTCTTAAACAGACTGCAAGCCCTCACTAGTTATAACCCCCAGAACAGCAAAAATATACCCACTTTGCTTATCAGGCCTAGAACAGTGTCTGGCATACAGTAAGTACTCAACACATGCTTGGGAGATTAAAAAATAAAAAATTTTAACTGTAGTAAAACTTCACTTAAAGGTAGATTGACTTTTTAAAAGTAGTCAAAAGTCATTCCAAGCTCAGTTTAGTGAATAAGATGGATCATAAAGCTTTAGAATATCATTTGGGGTTAGGAATAAAAAAGCAGCGATGATAACGCGATAGAACTTGATTTCCTTGTATGAATCGTAAAAATGGCTCAGAGTTGAGCTACATCTGTGGCGATTGAAAGATTGGCCTCCTAAGCTTGCGGTCAAGTACTTGCTCCAGTTTCGGAACGTTTACACATCTGCTGTTCCCTTTCCCTGAAACACCCCAGAGAGACATGGATTGTTTCCTCGCTTCATTTGGGTCCCTGTTTAAACATTCACCTCCTCCAAAAGGCCTTCCCTTACTCCTTGACCTAAAGTAAAGCCATCTTTGTCCCGCTCCGCCCCTTCTCTTTATAGGACTCATCATGGATGTAATAGTTTAGATCTGTTTTGTTGATGTGTGGTTAGTGTCTGTCTCTGTCACCAAAATAGGTGCTCCCTGATGAAAGGGACTATGTTTTATTCACTGCTATAGCTCCAAATTTCTACTAGATAGCCAAATTCCAAGTAAATTCCATAAATGTAAGTTGATAATGAAAGAGAAAGAGGGGCGCCGGGGTGGCTCTGTCGGTTAAACGTCCGACTCTTGATTTTGGCTCAGGTCATGATCTCATGGTTCATGGGATCGAGCCCCACGTCGGGCTTTGTGCTGACAGCATGGAGCCTGCTTAGAATTCTCTCCCTCCCTCTCTCTCTGCTCCTATCCTGCTCATGCATGCACGCTCTCTCTCTCTCAACATAAATAAACTTGAAAATAAAAAAAGGAAGAGAGGAAAAACAATGGAGGAAAGAAGAACAAGAAAGGTAACAGAGACATAGCAAAAGGGGTGAAGAAACTCTGGGTGAGTTATAATTGGCTGTTTGTTACTCATTTTTCTATTAGTTTGAATTGAAGGCTTCCATGAGAAAATTGCAGAATGGGTCTCCATCTTTCCTAGAGATTTATTTCAAAGGAATGGCTACCCTAAAGAAAGTGGTTCCTCTGTGCTTAGAAGCACAAAGATAGCATTTACTATCTTTTACTGTCTTTCCATATCTCCAGTCAGCACAAGTACAAACTGAGTGAACATTTAAGAACTCCTGACTGAGTCAGAGAAGTACTTTCGTGATTTTTAGCAACATTCATCTGTGTTGGCATTACTATTAACAATTTTAATTTCCATACTTAACTGACATTTGGAACATCTGTTCATATTGAATACCTGCGGCTCTTTCGGGATCTTGCTTAATCCAGTTATGTGATAAAGCCAAGAAGCAAGCCTCTGAAAATACTTTCAATTCTATTTTACTCCGGCTGCATCCCTCACAAAGTTTAGTTTCTTTCAAAGGAAAATGATTCAAGTCACATTTCTTTAATGTTTTTGCTTCCTCAAACTGTCGATTCCTTATACAAGACTTATCAACAGGGTTTGTACCAGAGAAGATCGAGCATAATGATAGTCTGTTACATTTTAGAAAATTTAGTGAAAAAGATAATTGCATTTTCCGGCTGATTTCTATCATAACATTACAAAGAAATCCCTTTTTTTAATGTTTATTTCCTATTTTTGAGAGAGAGCGAGTGAGCTGGGGAGGGGCAGAGAGAGGGGGATAGAGGATCTGAAGCGGGCTCTGTACTGATGATACACAGCCTGATGAGAGGCTCAAGGTCGCAAACCATGAGGTCATGACCTGAGCCGAGGTCGGACGTTTAACCACCTGAGCCACCCAAGGGCTTCCAAAGAAAACTCTTTTTTAAAAAGTTCAGTTCATACTGAAAATTTTAGGCCAAGGGAAGGGTTATATAATACAAGACAAGGTACTGTCCCATAAGAGTCTTAGAACACTTTCAGAATTCCGAGGCACATTTACGAAAATACCAGTTTCTCGACCGATATGAGCAAACAGCACAAAATGCATGGATACCCAGGCCCTGAGTCTCACATTTCAGTGATGCTCAAAATCTTAAAACGAATCATGATGCCAAGTAAGTAAGTCACTACTTTAATAGCCTTCAAGCTCAAAAATCCCATTTTATTTGAATCCCAGATAACTGCATTCAGAAAACAGTCATAAGGGGCGCCTGGGTGGCTTAGTCGGTTAAGCGTCCAACTTTCGCTTAGGTCATGATCTCGCGGTTCGTGGGTTCGAGCCCCGCGTCAGGCTCTGTGCTGACTGCCAGCTCAGAGCCTGGAGGCTGTTTCAGTCTGTGACTTCCTCTTTCTCTGACCCTCCCCTGCTCACGCTGTCTCTCTCTCTCTCTCTCCTAGAAATAAATAAAACATTAAAAAAAAAAGAAACAATCATAAGTTTTTCCACTGAATATTACCTTTCATCTTTGTTTTGTACAGTATGATGCTAACACAATAAGAATAGCACTTATAGTATATTAATACCCCTAAACTAAAACCTAATGTTTTATATTTTTCCATTGCTCTTCAATGATACCTACTGCATTTTGGGCCGATGTTCATTATACGTACTTTTATTGTGTCGCCTTGCAACGTTAAGAAGCTTACATTTCTTCTCCGAGGCAGGAATTTCTGGTGTGTGGGCAGAGGCACATGCTGCTGGGGAGTTGGCTGTACCAGGTAATCTTTTAGGAAATGCCACAAAGTAGGAGGTTCGCTGTCTCGTCCGACATGCGACTTCTCTCTCTCTGTGCAGCAACTGTTCATCCACCAGCAATGTGATGACTTGTTTCGACTTTTCCCGGATGTAGTATCCTGAAAAATACATTGACTGTGTGTCAGTGAGAAAATATTCCTCAAGGCTACGATTATTTTTTATTCTAAAGAAAATCGGGGGGCGGGGGGTGTGGAATGGAAGCAAGGGAAGCAAAGTGGAAAAAAATCTGTAGTGAACGCACAAGGAAACCCAAGTCCCATTGGAAGTGTCAGCAAGTACCCATTTTCTTATACTTTAAGAAGTGAATAAGTGCATAATGAAATCCTATTACATATTGACATGAAATTTTGCACTTTATTTTTTAAATATTTATTTCTTTTCGAGAAAGAGAGGGAGAGCATGCGTGGGAGCGAGGGAGGGGCAGAGGGAGAGGGAGACACAGGATCTGAAGCAGGCTCCAGGCTCTGAGCTGTCAGCACAGAGTCCACCTGGCACTTGAACTCGTGGGCTGTGAGATTGTGACCTGAGCCAAAGTCAGAAACCCAACTGACTTAGTCACCCAGGCGTCTCGCTCCCCGACATTTTGCACTTTCAATATGCTATTTCCTTTCAAAAGCAATACTCTGCAATCAAACAATATGGGTGTAAGAGAAGAGGAATAAATTAGACCTCGATTTACTGACCTGGATGTGTGACCATGGCATAAGGCTAAAGATTTAAAGTACTATGCATGGTATGATTCAAATCTGTAAGGCACAGGGGAAAATCAATCACTATGCATGTATACAGGAGAGAGAAGTAGATAAATACATGGCTGGCTGGCTGGCTGGATGATGGATGCGCAGACAGACGGCTGTGTACCCTCAACATTGCTAATACCTGTTATGTTAAAGGAGTACTATTGGGGTGGGCAATTAGATTTTCTTTAATATAACATCTTATCAGAACAACTTGACACCATTAATTGAGTGTCAGACGCATAGTCTAAGATCAGAATCCTAACAAAGATGCTGAACTTAATCATCTATCTGTGTGATTCTGAGTTAGTTAGGCAGTCTGTCTGGGCTTGAGTTTTCTAGGTGAAAAGCAGAAAGCAGATCTATTCAGTGCAACTCACAGATATAAAGGTATATCCATAATAATACTATACTTCTTAACCCCCTCCCATGAGAAGTGACCAAGGAGAATCACTTACCTTTCCACATCTTGAGACAAACTCATATTACCCCACGTCTTCCCAAGCCTTCTTCCAGAAGTAAACTGAAAAGTCCCTAAAGATCCCCTATTATGTTCATTCTGGGCTCCGAGCATGATGAACGGAAGTGTCAATGTATCCAATTATAATTTACTAGTAGTAGGAGTAATTAGAAATGGGAAATGGTCAACTGCTCGGTATATGCAGATGAAAGTGGCCAATGTGTTCTGGGCCAGTTATTTCCTTAAAGACTGCTACGGACAGGGCCAGAAACCTTTGCTCAGGTTGCCATCTTTCCCAAGATTATTTTATCTCCTCTTAATCTCATTTCTTAGTCACTTCCTCCCTCCAAACTTCTTTTATAACTGCTGTGAACCGTAACATTCTGCATACCCTCAATTCCCTATGATTACTGTGTAGCCCGTAAACAAAACAAAACAAAAAATCCCACAGTGTTTTGTGTTACCACTCAGTGTCGTGTGACAGAAGCCTGCTGTGACTGTCAGCCTCTGGGGACAATGTGCCAGCCGCTACTTTCCCCTGGAAAACTGCCGCAGCTTTGCTCAGAGGAAGGGGTGAACCCTTGTTTTCTAACTTCACAAAGTCATCTCCTTCTGCTTCCCTTCTCTCCTTCTACCCTAGCGACCTTGACTGTCTTATTCTTCAATTACACCAGGCGCTTTATCTCTTTCGAGCCCTGTGCTGGCTGTCGCTTCTGCCAGGGACTCTGCATGGCTAGGTCCCCCATTCATTCAAGTCTCTACTCAAATGTCACTTCCTCTTAGAAGCCTTCCTTCTGCCCACCCTCTCTAAAATAGTCTCATTCCCATCACTCTCTACTGCTTTATCTATTTTATCACTACCTGATATTGGTCTACATGGGTTTGTGCACATGAACACACACACACACACACATTTAATTGTTTACTATTTGTTTCCTCACCTAGAATACAAGCTCTGTGAGCACAGAGAACCTCACTTACGTGGTATGTCCAGTGGCTGGAAGAATGATTGGCACATAATAGCCAATCAATAAATAGCTATGAATCAAAAAAGGAGCAAATTCCAAAGTCTCACTTTTCTCCTTTCCACAGTGCAAGTGGAACCAGATGGATCATAGATACTGAGTGTCAACTTACAATGTAGCTGCCTGAGAAAGTTGCTTGGCCTGAAATAGTTCTTGTGATACCCCTAACTAGAAGAGGTCAGAACTAGAAGTTATGGGACAGGCATGGGTTATTTTACGTGGAGCCTGCATGAATTGGTGGGACTTAAAAGCAGCTGCAAGGGGCGCCTGGGTGGCTTAGTCGGTTAAGTGTCCTCCTTTCGCTTAGGTCATGATCTCGCGGTTCATGGTTTTGAGCCCCACGTCGGGCTCTGTGCTGACTGCCAGCTCAGAGCCTGGAGCCTGTTTCGGAGTCTGTGACTCCCTCTCTCTCTGACCCTCCCCTGCTCACGCTGTCTCTCTCTCCTAGAAATAAAAAACATTAAAAAAAAAAAAAAGCAGCTGCAAAAGTTCAAAGGTCTGAGCAGATACATCAAGCAGAAAGCCAGCCACAATGATGAAGCACTTCTCCCTGAAATATCAGGGGTCCTCCTGAGGTAGCAGTCTGCAGTACTGGGAAGGTCAAGCCACCGTACTTTACTTCTCAATCAAGGCTGTCCACGGCCCTGGCTACCTGCCCACCACCACCTTCGAGATGCTAGAGAGTAGAAACCTGGCTGTTCTAAAGCATTAAAGTTGAAAGTCAAAAAATCCAACCCAATAAACTGGCCTCAAGGATGAGTTAAATAAACAATGGTAATACCAAGATGGCCTCTACTCACTGCTAAGCAATATGTTTCTGAAAGGAAAGGGAAGACATAGTACTGAAACAGAAACGTACTGGCATAGAACAAACGTAGGCAGCACCTGCTCTGTGTCTGAAAGAGAGAAAGAAAATGAAGTGGGGAGAAGGTTGGGAGGGTGAGGGGAGACAAGGGAGGGAGAAAACATGGATTCTCTGAAATGAGAAATATGAAACAGAGCAATACCAAAGGATACGTCAAGATCCTTGAGTTGTTGAGGTGAAGGGTAAAGTAAAAACAAAGCTACGTTCTGTTTTAAATAGTAATCTTTGGGTTATAAGCGACAGAAACTCAAGTTGAACTGGCCATGGGAAAAACCAGGGGTTGTGAAAGGGCCTCCGGTACAAGAGAGGCAGAGATTGGAAAACTACCAGCACACTTTCCCCCTCTCCCTACCCTTCTTCACTCTGTGTCATGCCTTCATTTTCTCCTCTTGCAGAGTGGCTTCCTCCATCTGAACATGGACGTGGCCACAGACAGCTCTGGATTCAACACCTCACCTGAGAAGCCTCTGCCACCTGAGAAGCCTCCCTCTTCCTTTGTTCAAATTGGAAAAATCCAGGAAAATGACTCTGCTTGGCCCAGCCTGAGAGTCGCATGCCCTTTACCTTGGCCAGAGGGTGGGATGTGACCATTGGCAAGCTCCACCCCTCCCTCCCCCCCCCCCCGCCATCAGAAAGGCACGGTTCAATGAGGGGAGAGTCAACAGGATAGAAAAATGAATGAACAGAAAGCCAACTTGCGGAAGCTTCCCGAACTGAAGGCCAAGGCCAAGGACGTACAAATCACTAGAGCAACTATGTGACAGACCAACACCCCAGGATATTCACTTATTCACTTATGCAGCACTTAATCCTTTCTTGAACATTTCAGCTTCAGGAACTGTTTAGAAGCACAAGTGAGGAAAAGAGAGACAAGATTCCTACACGAGATAATTTCAGATAAAAAGAAAAGCTCTAAAGGAAATAAAGGATAGTGAGGTGTTAAACATCAGGCTATGGGGTAGTGAAGGCAAATCCTACTGGAGAAGTAATGTATCACCTGAGTCTTGAACAGCACGGAAAAGCCAGCGGTGCGGACACTCAGGCAGAGGGAACTGCTCTGATGTCGCTTCGGGACGCCTTCTGCTGAGAGAGAGCAAGCCCCTTCAAGCTCACCCTCAAGTCGAGCTGGGTTTTCGCACAACTCTCATGGCGTCTACACTTGTCTCTTGCAGCACTTCCACAGTTTGTAATTGCCTATTTATCTGATGAATGTCGTTTTCCTCCATTAAAGCATAACGTCTGTAAAGGCCAGACTATACCTATTTGTTAAGAGATACTTCAGAAGTGTCTGCAAAATAAATGAGTGAACATGCTGAGGAAACATTTTCCAGATGCAGGGGAGGAGTCTCTGTAAATTCACAAATGGGCATCACATAAAGGGGGTTGGAAATGTGGTAAATTCAAAGATGCTGGGCAATGAGATGCACTAGACTTCTAGAAAAACACATATTAGGCTTGGTGCAGTGGTCATAAAACACCTTAACGCCCCTCCCTCCACACCTGACCCGCTAACCAATCAAAATGTACTCTTCCTTCTCCATTCCTTTCTCAGAGAAGTTCATCTCCTTTCTAAGTCTGAAATATGAACGTTCACCTCCCCGGATGCAGTGACCCGTGTCCACTGATGGTGCCAACTAAATCCATCCCCACCTCGCCCCGTCCCTCAGTTCGGGCTCTGCTCATTTCCTCCCTGCGGTGTTCTGAACTACTGACTTATCTGGAGTCTCCCTCGCCATCTCTGCTCCACAGTGTCTCCAGGGGTGAGGGGTGTAGGCTGGGGAGACGAACCCCCCAAAGTGTATCTGATCAAGTTAATTTCAAGTTTAAAAAAAAAAAACCCTTCGGTCAAGTTGGCACAGTAAATTCATGCTTCAAAGTACCCCTCTGCTCTGCTCCAAATACACAGCAATAATAGGCACTGCGAGGCTCAAAAACAAGATAGAAAGCTCCACAAAGCAGAAATGTAAGAGGAATGAAAAGGCGGCAAGCATGGCTGCAGCCGCAGGGCCGC